GTGCTGTGAATTGTGTAAGACTGCTGAATCACAGACCTGTACCTCTGAAATGAATCATACATTATATGTTTAAAAAAAGAAGAAGATAGTAGGAAGGGAAAAATGAAGGGGGGAAAATCGGAGGGGGAGACGAACCATGAGAGACTATGGACTCTGAGAAACAAACTGAGGGTTCTAGAGGGGAGGGGCCTGGGGGGATGAGTAAGCCTGGTGATGGGTATTAAAGAGGGCACGTATTGAATGGAGCACTGGCTGTTATATGCAAACAATGAATCATGGAACACTACAGCAAAAACTAATGATGTAATGTATGGTGATTAACATAACATAATAAAATAAGAAAAAAAGTTCAGTGCAAAAAAAAATGCTTACTTATAACTTAATATAGTATTTCAGATGTCTGTAGACCAACATAGAATATTTATATTGTCCTTTCATACCCATGACAAAATCATCACCATTTCAAAAATAAAATTTCTGTTTTAAAATGAAAGCAGACAATAAAAAAGCAGATTCTAAACTTGTGGATTTGATTACAAATTTAGCATTTTGAAGGCCAGATGTGATGATATCATCAACTTACAGTTTTTAAGTCCTGTGAAGGTTTCTGTCTAAATAGTGGTTAAAATTATTTATTTCAGAAAAGACACTTGCCCTTTAAGAAATCATTCCTGAAAGAGCAGAGACTCTTCCAGGTTTGGTAGAGGGCAGCAAACTGTAAAAACTGTTGGTTGGTAGGGCTCTATTACATACAGATTTCAGTCACACAAGACCCAAATGAGGAAGTAAAACTTCAGGAGGAGCTATTTTAGTCTCTCTTCCCGATGGGTAAGTTGATAGGGTAACTTCTGACTGGGAAAAGACTGTAATTCAAGGTTACAATTGTTCATATCTAATCTGTCCTATTTGACAAATCAAAAAAGAGAAGAGAGATTAGAAACCAGCTAGAATAATGGTGGCATTTCCCTTTTATTCATTTAACAGCCTGAACAGAGTAAATGTGGATGGTTGGGGCACTGAAAAACTGTAATTACCAAACAAATACTGGAAAGGACTTTTGATGCCGAGTTAGTTTGAGGGCTGCCTCCTCTGAGAAATGGATTAATATTGGATTAGGGGGAAGCTCCATTTTTGGAGAAATTCCTACTTGTTATCGGTAAGCTTGTGTCTCTGTGGATGGATCATGACTGCTTCCATGTCTGTTTTTTAGCAGAATTTAGTTCCTTGTGGTTGTATGACTGAGATCCCCATTTCCTTGCTGGCTCTCAGTTGAGGGCCAGTTGCAGATTCTGGAGGTCACCCACATTCTTTGTCTCATGGCCCCTTCCTCCATCTTCAAAGCTAACAATGGTGGGTTAAGTCTGTCTCAAGATGTGGATCTCTCGGGTGCCTGGGTGGCTCAGTTGGTTAAGCGACTGCCTTCGGCTCAGGTGATGATCCTGGAGTCCCGGGATCAAGTGCCGCATCGGGCTCCCTGCTCGGCAGGGAGTCTGCTTCTCCCTCTGACCTTCCCCCCTCTCATATGCTCTCTCTCTCTCACTCTCTCAAATAAATGAATAAATAAAATCTTTAAAAAAAAAAAAAAAGATGTGGATCTCTCCTTCCATCTCATCTCTCTAACCCAGCCTGGGAAAGGTGCTCTGACTCATGTGATTAGATGGGGTTCACCTGGGTAATCCAGGATAATCTCATCATCTTAAAGTCAGTACCTTAAGCACATATGCAAAGTCCCTTTTGCCATGTGAGATAACATATAATAGGTTCTGTGAATAGGAGGTGGACATCTTGTTGGGGGCATTATGCAGTCTATCATACAGAAAATGCCAGAAGTATCCACAAAGCAAGTGCAGACATTGCTGAATTACAGAACCCAAATTTACAAACATATCTACATGGCATGGTTACCTGGTACATCTTCTCCTCCAATGATATTAAGACTCTTCTTTTTTTTTTTAGATTTATTTATTTATTTGACAGAGAGGGACAGTGAGAGAGGGAACACAAGCAGGGGGAGTGGGAGAGGGAGAAGCAGGCTTCCTGCGGAGCAGGGAGCCCGATGTGGGGCTCGATCCCGGGACCCTGGCAGACCGAGCCGAAGGCAGACGCTTAACGACTGAGCCACCCAGGCGCCCCAAGACTCTTCTCTTTGACCAAACTCATTAGCACAGGTGACCATCTGACCGAACTTTCCTAGCAATACTCTTTATCACATTCTTGTGGGGAGGAGGTCTTATGTTATAGTCTCTTGTTATAGTTTGCCTTTTACCACTCATAGCCTAATTTGGCCATTTCCTATGCATACACAAGCTTCTTGAACCCCTTTTCAGCTTCTTTCATGTGTACACACACATCTTCTTTAACTCTTTTGTCTCCTGAATTTTTCTGATTGCCTCTTGGGGGAAGAAACATTCTTCCTCTCTTTTTCTCCACCCCTTATTCTTTGTTTCATTTGTAAACTAATCATTCGAATGGAAAGCAAATTAGGAAACAGCTTATTTCCAAGCTGAAGGTGCTTCTGCATAGTTAGCTAATTCTAAATGGCAATGAGATTGAAAGAAACAGTTCATAATTCTCACCTTGAAAAGTCGAAGCTTCAATAAGCACAATATATCTGTACATCTGGCCCTGTGCTCTGCATTTTACACTTTTATAGCATAGAAATCTATTATGATATCAGCACACCCCATGTTTTGGCAGTTTGACTATGACTCTACCATAAGCTTTGTATTCATTTCTTGAAATTGGATAATCAACTCCCCAATTTCTTGCTTGTAAAATATAGCAGGATGAAATGAGTGACTGCTAATGTCATCCATCTATTTGCTAGTGGATCTTAAAATCAGTACACTGAAATCTTAAATAAGATGCTGATCAGACGCATTACTCATCTGGTGCTTTTTACCAAAGCGAGTAAGAAGGTTACCTTAATTATAAGCACCAACCAAACTTCTACTACTACTACTACTACTACTTATCTATTACTGAGATAAAATCCAACCTTACCTTGCAACTTCGCCCAAAGCAGCCTAAACCACAAAGGAGCATAAGATTATTATAAAGTCAGGGACCCCTTTGTCCCCCATTAAGCACAGTGCCACTTTTACAAAAGTCAATGAGAAGGCTGCTCAGTGCAGTACTATTTACAATAGCAAAACTATGGGAACAACCTAACTGTCCTAGAATGTGGAGTTGGTTAAATAAATTAAGGTGTATCCACAAAATGGAATATCTCACAGCCATTTAAAATGTTGCTATAGAATGATAATTAGTGACACTGAAAATTTTCTTACTATGTTTAGTACAAATAAATTAGAAAACAGTACATATGATATTATCTAAACTGTGAAAAACAGTCTTTATAGTATTATTCCACTTATGGAAAATAACATAGATTCCAGAAAAATCTGGAAGATATAAACCAAAATCTTGTCTGTATAACCATTTCTTTCTTACTAGTGGAACTATAGATATTTTTTTTCAGCATTTTGGTAATGGGTATGTAATACTTGGTAATCAATAAAAGTTAATATTACTTTTAAAAAGCCAATGGGGAACAATTCATCCCACTTTTTTTCTCAAAAACCTAGACTTTTAGAGAAATGAAAGTAAATCTTATGGTCATCTAATCCTCCCCTTCCATCCCCCAAGCTTCTCTGCTTGAACACTGCCAGGTCCATAGTCATTAACATTTAGAAGTATTTTCACGATTTTACTTCATTGAATTTTCACAGTAACTTCATGAAGTGAGGTAGCTAAAGCAGGGAATTACCAGTTTTGTCTGGAAATCAGAAGTACATTTGTAGACCTTAGTTTAGAAACGTTGCCTCTCCTAGAAATTGAGAATAATGTTGAGTCCCATCTATACAGGCTCCAAACCCTGAGGGAAAACCTTTTCCTCCAACCACTTGCTGACTTTTTGCTAATCTGAGCTCGGCCAATGAGCTCCAGAAGGCAGCTGACCCCAGGTAGCTGCAAAATGGCAATCTGCAGAGGGGACAAGCACTGACTCACCACATTCATGAGAGGGGCCAGGCTGCTTCTTCTTCCTTTTCCTTAGTGTTAGAAAGAACACCAACACCATCCCACACAAAATGACCAACATTACAAGTAGAGCTGCAATCCAGAGGATAGGGTCTCGGGCAGGGGGGGGTTTCGTATGTGCATCTAGAAATGAGCACAAGTTTTTAATCAGCCAGGAAGATCGATTATAAAAGATTCATAATTACTGTTGTCTTCATTTACAAGTCAACAATTCCCCAGGGCTCTACTGCCAGAGGAGCCTGAAATCCACAATAGGAGGCCATAGAAAGTCCCAGGCTTAGGGCCTTAGCAGCTTAGAACCAAGCCAGTGCTTCTGGCCAAAAGCCTGGACTAAGCTGCCTTCCCTTCCCAGAGGTGGGGATGACAATGACCATGATCTAGAAGAAGAAAGTCAACCTGGCCCTTAGTTCTGCATCTGGGTATGGTACCCATGCTGCAACTTTGAATGCATAGTCGTCTGTGCGCCACCCTGCTTCCTCAGCCCATGCATAGCCAGGCCTGGAGTCCTGAAGTTTCCCTGGTAATAATTTCTCCATCCACTGTCATCTCTAGATCAGGCTCCAGACACACCTCATTTGGACAAATACAACAGCTGCCTACCTCCAGTTTTGCTTATTTGTTTGTTTTTTCCACTGAGGCCACAGTGGAAGAAACAAGGCTTTCAGAATGTGTCTTTGATACGTTTGATATCTCTTTGTGCCCTGAGGAATCAGGGTTAGAATCAGCTCCTGGGAGGTCAGGACTTTCTTCCTTGCCTGGAGACTTCTAAGTTTCCAGGAAGTTGAAAAACAGACTTTGAGGGGAAAGCTTAGAACTGGCCCATTTTATAGACATTTATGGGACTCATTCTGATAGTTCATCTCAAATTCCAGGAAAATAATACCAGCTGACCTATTAGTTTATAGCTGCAATTTGTGGACACATACCCCATTCCTGGGACATTAGGAAAAGGAGTTGCTGCATTGCAAGCCATATTCAACACTTTTTGAGTCTGTCCTAGTTTTATCCCACTGGAGCCTGTTTAGCATTCCCAGTAAACGGGGGTTATACTTGATAAAATGGAGACTGCTACCTTTTGATACCCAAAAAGATTCCTTGATTCAGGGTCAACACTATCTCTGGTCAAGCCATAGAACAGGGATAGAGAGAGGCAAGCCCTGGCTTCCTGAGGCAGCTGGAGCTGAAATGTTTCTGAAGATGGTGGCAGCTGGGAAGGTTTGGGCAGTAGTTGAGGAAGAGCAGAAAGGGGGAGCCATGATGAAGCTACAGGAATGGCAAGGCCCTATTCCTTTGTAGACTGTGGGAGCCATGGCAGAAGGCCCCAGGGCATGTCATGTGCAGTGATGTTGCTGGCTCCATACAGGTGCTGAGCCTCAGGGATAGCTTGAGAGAGGCTTCTTTTTTTTTGAGAGAGAGGCTTCTATTAGGCCAAGAGAGGCTACAGTAGAAGCAACCAGGCTTCTGTGCGGCCTGTTTACTGGGTTCTCCGAGGCAGAGATAAGTCTTAGCGGAAGGAAATCAGTACCAAGAGAAGGGATTGGCCCACTGGGAAAGCTTACTGAGAGAGACTGGCTCCAGAGGCTGCCCATAAGAATGTGTCCGTAGACCAAGTTATGTTGGAACAATGAGACAGCAGGAGAAAGGAAGCAGCAAAGTTAGAGGATGCAGCAAGGAGTTGGATGGATGCCTTAGGAAAGGAAAAACCGAAGGGCCAGGATTGGAGAAGGGGCCAAGGTAAGCAGAAGGTAGATGCGTGGGAAGAGAGTGGTCAGGATCAGAAGAAGCAGTGATAGGGGCAGTGTGGGTGCAGAGTGCCTTTATTCCAGGAGAGAATCCTGCAGTTACTGCTCCTCAAAAGTGGGGTCTCAAACACGGATGCATTTTCCCCAGGGTAAAGCCAGGACTTTAAAATGTTAGACTTCTTTTATTTGATTTTATTTTTTTTTAAAGATTTTATTTATTTATTTATTTGACAGAGAGAGAGACAGCGAGAGCAGGAACACAAGCAGGGGGAGTGGGAGAGGGAGAAGCAGGC